AGAAGCAACTGGGCCGGCGAAGGAGGCGGCCGAGCATATTGGGGGTCGTTTAGGAGGCAGACGAATTTGGTGGCTTGAGCGGGAAAATGAAAATGGCGGTGGAAAATATGCTGTGGCTGAGGAGAGTGATGATGCCGGATTCATTTCCACATGTTAATTTGGGTGTATCTTGATTTTCTCCCATAAATTTCAAGTGTAGCTCTCATTTGCTTATATTATTATGGATTAATTGCATTTAAAATTCTAAATTTTTGTGTAATGGCAAATAAAACTCAACATTTTTAATTTGGCAAAAAAATATTAAACATTTAATAAGTATTACAAGTGTGTTTCAAAATCAGTTTCCGGCCATACCAAACCTTGAATAAGATGACCGGAAAAGTCGTTGCGGGAAAAGTCACTGGTTCCGGCGAAGGTGGACGTCACTATATGCGGCTTTGCGAGAGGAGTTCAACAGTACCTTCGGATTCACATGGGTCAAAGCGAGTCACCGAGAATTTGCGAAAGAACGCCGAATAAAATTTGAAAATCTACGATTTTGACCTGAAAATTGGAAGCTTTATTGTCGGAATTTTTTTGTAAAACTCGGATATGTTGTCGGCAAAGAGGAGAGCTACAAGATTATGTAAAAATTTACAACATCCAGCAAAGTTGGCCAGTGGCGGATAGCGGTAGGCGGCGGTCTGACGGGTGAGACATAATTGCATTACTTATTAAAGGTTTGGTATTATCCATGACGTCGAATTTTCTCTTTCCCACGGGATCTGTGGTAATTCGTGGCCTGGCCCGGGTTTGGCCGCACGTTACGAAGGGTGCCAGATGGTCGTTAGGGTCAGGAACGAGAGCTCTTTTCTGGTGGGATAATTGGTCGAACGGCCCATCGCCGCTAATTAACCGAGTGCATGGTGTCATTCCCGAGGACAAAATTTCTTGGCTTGTTTCGAAGTATGTAAATGAGCAGGGGCAATGGAATTGGCCAAGCTTTTCGTCTTGGTTGCAGCCATCGGATCTTCTCCGGATATCCGCGATCCTCCCTCCTCAAGCCGGGGCTGGTCAAGACCGAATTTTTTGGGGCTTGTCATTGAATGGGCAGTTCACGACCAAGTCAGCCTACAATTCTTTGATTCCGACGAACCGAGATGAGAAACGTCGGTTGTGGTAGCTGATTTGAAAGTGGGTCGGGCCTCAAAGAATCCGACAGCTTTTATGGCTCGTTGCTTTGGAGAAGCTTCTGACGAACGAAGAGAGGCACATAAGGCATCTAGTGGATAATCCGCTATGCGAGCTTTGTCAAGCCCAAACGGAATCGACCCTCCACGTTTTACGTGATTGTGAGGTTCCGCGTCATTTCTGGAAAAATTTGGTGCCGCGTTCGAAATGGCCTGAGTTCGTCGACCTGACTTTGGACAAATGGCTTGAACTGAACTTATCGTCCCGGCTGAACATTGCGGATGAAACTGGGACTGTGTGTTTGGAGTCAGCCTGTGGCGCCTTTGGCATGGCCGGAATAATTTTGTTTTTAATAATACCGCATCTTCGATTGATGGTAAAGTTAATGAAGTCCGAAATCATGTTGATATAATCCAGCAAATGAGCTCGAGCCTTCATCATCTCGGGCTCCGGGGATGCCATAAGCGTGACCACATGGTATATTGGGAACCTCCGTCTGAGGGATGGATTAAATGCAACTCAGATGGCGCTTTTAATACGTCCACGGGTATGGCAAGTGCCGGAGGACTCCTGCGTGATCATACTGGTTGTTTCGTTGGGGGTTTCATCATGAATATTGGGTTTAACTCCATTATGGGAGCGGAGATTTGGGGGCTACTCCAAGGCCTTCTTCTTGCATGGGAGCTAGGGCATCGACGGATTATAGCAGATGTCGATAGCAAGACAGTGGTAGACGTTGTAAGTGGATGGGCGGAAGTGGAGGGTGCCCACAGCAGCGTCATCCTGGCCATTAAAGAATTGCGGAGTCGGGAATGGCTCGTGAAAGTTAGGCATGTTTACCGAGAATCAATTTTTTTGGCGGATTACTTGGCTGCATTAGCATTGTCTAGTCCTGGAGGATTCCAACGTCTCGAGTTCCCGCCAGCTGGTTTGAAGCCTTGGCTCGATCACGACTTGGTTGGAGTAGCTTACCCACGTAGGATAGCTTCTTATCTTCCTCCTCCTTCTACCGTACCAAAAAAAAAAAAAAGTTTGGTATTTTTTTTCCAAATTGAAAAAATTGAGTTTTATTTGTAATTACTTTTAGAATTTTCAATGCAATTAACTCTATTATTATCTTTCTACCATATTTTAAATAAATAATAGGTTAAGTTGTAGATAAAAATTCATATATCGTTTCAACTTTTAAATTTCATTTTTTTTACCAATTGAGATATGCTATTGCTATCGACAGAGAGACTGGTGTTTGGTTATGTGAAAATGAAGAATGAGTAATGTTATAGAGTCCACTTGAATGACAACTTGGGTTACTAACTCATGTGTGAACACAATAAAGTATTATGAAGTTTTGAAATTCGAGTTATGTTAAATAAGAATATCAATCGTAGAAGCCACAATTTTAATATAATTTTAATTTTTATCATTGATTTGTAACATATCGTCTCTCTACATGCATGTTACGCAACAAGCCGAACACACAGGGAGATGTTGTAGTCTCGTTATGGAATCATTCCATCGAAGTTTGTAACCATCAAATCAACTATCTCCGACGGTAGATGATGATTTAACGGTTACAAACTCCGACAGAATGGTTTCGTAAAAGGACCGTAGCATTTTCCCGAATTTATGTCTGAGTTGTTGATTAAGTGCTTTCTATTTGCAAAAATAAAATGTGTGTCATTATTATTATTAAAAACTAAAAATGAAAAGTGCATAATAAGTTGTGAATTATAAACGAAGAAAGTGACATTAGAATTTAATTTTTTCTTAATTAATTTAATGGTTAGACAATCATACTCTTTTTTTTTTTTTTTTTTTNCAAAAGAAGAGGCCAGAGGCCTAGATAGAGACTAAACTAAGACTCGGATAGGAGACTCCTAGAAGATCATGATCCATCCAAAACCCCAAGCCAAAAGGAGGAGAGGGAACACACTGCAGGCCCAACGAAGAGGAAGCCGCGAGGGAGGCCATATAATCAGCCGTAAAATTAGCCTCTCGATGAACGTGAACAACCCGAACTTGTCGGTCTCTACTCAATAGCTCCCAAATAGCCCGGACCAGAGACCCGTGAGTACCATGGATGTCACCCGAGCCAAAAATCATGCTCGTCACACACTTACTATCAACCTCAGCCAAGACCTGTCGGCATCCACGATCCCATGCCAACTGTAAGCCGTGAAAGAGATACCACAACTCAGCCCCCGTAATAGTACAAATACCAATGTTCATTAAGAAGCCAGCAACCCACCGGCTCAACTCGTCCCTAATAAGGCCGCCCGCGCTCCCCAAGCCCGTGCTGCTCTGAAAAGCGCCATCAGTATTCACCTTAACCCAACCCAGGTCAGGCGGACGCCAGTGAATCATGCGCGTGATACGGACACTTGCCCCTACCCGTCTCAGTGCAGAAGCTGTACGAGTATACGACTCAGTCAAGCGGGCAATCTCAAGCCTCCTTGCATCACAGCTCAATGTTCGATGATTAAAGACACGGTATGATTAAAGACAATCATACTCTTTAAACATATATATGTACATACATTTACACTTAAATAACATACTATAAAATAATATAAATAAAAATGTAACTTTAATATTTGAATAAATATTTTTTTTTTTCAATAAACTTTGATTGACTAACAGTTAGATACATAAAATGTGTGAATAATTAGGGATGAAAACGGTGCGGTGCGGTGCGGATAATGCCTTTTCCACATCCTAATCCATTTTATTTTTGCGGATTTGGAGCGGAGCGGATATTGGGCGGATACGGATGTGGATGCGGATTGTTTCGGATATCAGAGATGGTACGGATTCGGAGCGGAAGCGGATCGGATGCGGATTTATATAGTCGGATAATACATGCTGCTACTCAACCCTTTATGACGAATAATAATTAATAAAGCAAAGTTGCAAGAAAAATTAAAAAGAACACAAAACATTGAGTTCCTTAGGTACTTAGCTAACGAGGGGAGCCAAGTACATAGCTAGTTCACAACTAGCTAAGCTAAACCATTAATAATTAAGCAATACACCCGCTATACAAAATCATAGCCTAATAGTCATAGGTCCGAGCTATATATAGATGCATCATGCATGCAGTGATGCAGATATATAGATCTCTTCTGGGTAGGGATTTGTATCAACTATCCAGTGGGGATCGACATATACATGATCTACACCAAGGCCCCAAAAGATCCATACAGCCACGATGGTCCATAGATGCTAGAAAGATCATGATGATGCCATCGATCTTCTAGGAGATAACTCATTCGTTCACCAACAAAACGATTCGTACATGTGCGGTGTGCCGGCCTGGAGTGAGGCTGGCTGTAGAAAGTCGGATCTGGAAGAACATTTACAAGATTGGGTAAAAAAATAGTAAAATGCAATACAATACCTAGTGCTGACTTGTTGTGTCGAAGAAAACAGTAGCACGCACGAGAGTAGCGGCGGTCGGGGAACGAAGATGCAAATAGATGTCGCTGACAGCGGCCTACATGCGAGATGATTGTGGAACCAGCCGCCGTATCCTTAGCTTTTAGGGTGTCTGCCGATGAGTAATTTTATATGGTTTGTGTGGGCTAGTTGGACCGGGATTATATTATTTAGGGCTATGTAAAATAATCGGATATCCTCTTATAAAAGTCGGATAATCCACTTTAAATTGTCGGATAATCCATATCCACCGGATATTGCCAATACCATATCCTCCTCCATATCCGCAACAATCGGATGCGGATTATCCATATCCTCATGGATATCTAAAACCTTAATCCATATCCTCGTAACGCGGATTCGAATCGGATCGGATGCGGAAATTATCCACCCCGCTTTCACCCCTATGAATAATAAGTTGAAGTTTATATTACTCATGTGAGAATTTGTGTTATTTCAAACTTTCTTTAAAGGTTTATTTTAAGTACTTAAAATTTAGGTTGAACATTGGGTACCACATCTTTAATTCCCAAACTTGGTCGAGAAAATATTAATCTTTGAACAATGTGATTTGTAGTTTTTGGAAAATACTATTTGTCTTGTAACGGAATTGTTCCATTATTATTTCAACCAATTAAATTACACCATTTGTGTAGTTAATATACAACTTCCATGTATCTAAAGACCAATAATTAACCAACAGGGGTTGGCTCAAGTGGTAAGAAGTTTGATGTCGCTTAAGCAAGATCTCGAGTTCGAGTCCTTGTGGATGCAGAAAACTCTTGTTGGGAGACTCAGCCACCACTGCCACGTGAGCGACCCGGGTTGACCAACAGATTAGTCGGGGCATAACTCCGGATACCGTAGTTAGCTAAAAAAAAAGACCAGTAATTAATTGTGAATATCTAGTCATCTAGGATAAAAGAACGAAATCATACCGTCACGGCCGTAGCCATCCCCGTAATTTTTACAATTGTGATGAAATAGTCCTTTGGATATTGTGCTTCGTGAATTTGTAAAATGGTAACGGGACAATATAAATGCTATAGCATTACGATATTGCTCGTGACAATTACCACTTCTTCTAGTCATGCTACATTATTAAAGTTTACAAATATTAAATCCAAACAAAAAGGAAAAAATAAATCAACGATAATCTAAGATAAAGACAAAAGAGTATGGAAACAAAAAAGATAAAAAAAAATGGTAAAAAGTAAAACTATACTTGAATTAGAAGTGTCAATAGTTGGGCACAATTACAAAATCTATATACTTATATAATAAGTCATCACATTTACTAAAATTAGTAGGTATAAAAGTCAAAGAACAATTAATGCATGCTATTTCCATCAATAGTTTTATTTACTTACTTATTACTAGTACGTAGCCCGTGTGATGCACGGGGCATATGTATTAAATGAGTCATTTCCACATATCTTGTCTGTTAAGTAGTTCGCGCGATTCACGAGAGATATTAAATGATTGGACCATAGAGCTTGTCCGTTTAGGCATAAAAAATAATAGAGTTTGATCATCTATCTTTTTACATCTTTTCATCAATTTTTTTTTGTCGGAACATTAAACCTGAGTCTGGTAGCGCTAGCCCGTAAATTAATTAATATATTATCTCGCTCACATGTTTATAATAATATAAATTTGATTTCATGATATATATTTATTCCTTGATATAAGAAAAATTACAATTTTACGTAATCTTGTTCCTCATATAATACTCATATTATTTTATTATAAAATTTATTGTAATATAATTTCATTATTATTATTTATAAAAGTTATAGATGTAGTCTTCTTCTTCTTTTTGTTTTATGTAATTAAAATATTTAATGTATGTTCATATTATTTATTAATGTGATTAATTTCAATTATGTAAATAAATTTAAAGTAAAACACAAACATTTTACAAAATATACAAAAATATTTTTTTAGAATTTAATTTTTTTATAATAAATAAACATCTTTGAAATCCTATGCAATTATTAAAACCGATTAAATCTGCTTTATTAAAACCGAATAAATCTTTATTTATATGCTTGACATTAAAACCTATTTTATGGGATTTTTTTAACTAAACCGATGTTATGTGATAAAACAAATCTATACTTAGCTTTGACTTTTCCAGCAAAGGTAAAAAAATTGTTTCTGATTTTTATCCCATAACAAATCTTTAATGTAAATCCTATAACCAAAATAAATCTATAATTAATGTTATTCTATTTCCAGTAAGCATTAATTACCTTTGATTTTTCTGCTTACTATTTCTAGTAAATATGATGACCTTTTATATAAGTGTAGATTGAAAGAAAAATATCAAGAATAATGAAAGACATAATATTGTTGTTGATTCGACCAAATTATTCCATGTAACAATTACATTTATTTATTTCAGTTCATTTGCTAGTGCATACCCCGTGCGATGCACGTAATACATATAATAAATTAATTATTTCTATAGGACTTGTACGTCTAGACAAAAAAACAATAGGCTTGGATCATTCATATTTCACATCTTTTAATAAGTGGCGTTTATTTAAGCCAACAAATTAACATGTTAATTAATATATAATGCCGCTAACACGTCAAACTAATATTTATTTGATTTTGGAATACATATTTATTCATTGATATAAGAAAAACAAAAATTTTATTTATTCTTGTTCACCATATAATACTCAATTATTATTTTATTATAAAATTTATAGTCATATAATGTCATTATTATTATTTATAAAAGTTATAGAAGTAGTCTTCTTTATGTAATTAAATTCAAAATAAAATTTTGAGTATAAATGTTTACAAAATACATACACATGTTTTTTAGAATCCAATTTTCTCATAATAATGTTTTTTTTTTAAAAAAATGATTTAGCAATTGCCAAAAAATAAATCCCTTACATAATCAAGAGATTTTTTCTAATTTTCATCCCAAGGCTTTATAGTTTATTTGACATACTATGCAATAGAAAAATATTTTACAATAAGTTCATTTTTGAAACATAACAAAAAAAAGTGATAAAACATTATCATAGTTGACAATAATATACAAATAAATAACATGTCAAAATTTTAAAGAATAACTAATATAATTTTATTATCTAGCCATCAATAAAATCATTTAATGATGTGATCATTATAATTTAAATGGTAAATAATATTAATTTTTTTTAAAAAAATATTAGTTTTATATAATTAAATAAAGGTTAAAAAATATTGCTCGACAAATATTAATTATAATGGATGTCAGTAAAATCATTGCATAAATTAATAAAGTTATTTAAGAAAAAAAATCATTAAGATCATATCTGGATAGTAAATGTATATATGCAAGCATTTAATGCATATAGTAAAAAATTTCCAAATAAGGTATGCATTAAAGTGTGTTGACTTTTCTTGCTACTATTTTTGGTAAATAGGTTGGCTTTTAATATATATATAGATAGATTTATTTTATTTAATGCATTCTATTACTTACTACTTATTACTAAACCAATACAAAAAGTTTTGATCGGTCAACAAAAAAAAAAAAAAAACTTCTTCCAAAATTTAATCAGATTTCACGCATAAATTGAATTGTTTTGTTGTATGGAAAATCTTTTTAATGCAGTTATAATTATAATGCGATATATGATGCGATATAAATTTGATCATATTTGTTCCTACATATAATGATCTGATATGATTTTCTTCACATTATCTCTACATATAATGCGATAATGCAATTATAAATTATAAATCTCTAAATATTGAATCAGCGTGTTCCTCACTTTCAGCCACCTGCGGAAAAAAAAAATTCCCCAATTAGTGTATCATTCATAACAATGTATCAAGAATTTGGCTTAATCAAACAAGTTAATAGGTTTAATAGACGTATGCTTAAAGTTCGAATTGTAAGAATGTTTTTCCAAGACTGGACAGCGCATACAAATCTTATCTTGAGTTGGTTCTACATGATAAAACTGTAAGCCAAATTATTTTTACTTTTTTTTTTCCGAAATATCAAACATATATTTTCGTGTATATATAATATATATTTTTTATGTTTTTAAAACAAATTATTTTTTCATTGATTGTTTTTTCGTATATATTTAAGATAATCGCATTACGGCATGGCTACGGGCAATCAACTTGGCTGCATTTAGAGAGGGAAATTTTGAGGAGGGCATAATTATTGGTATAAAAAATTATCAAGTGGACAACAATATAGGAAAATATCATTCGACATCCGGTGATTTTAAAATCATGCTGCACGGGAGCACTATATTTACAAAGTCCAAGGAAGAATTTCCTATATTCCGATTTCAATTCAAAGACTTTGCAACTCTACAATATGTCAACAAAATCGATGAATCGATGTATTCGGTAAGATTATTTCATTTTGTTTTTAATTTTATTTGTTTACTTCGAAGTAATCAAATTATAACATATTTATTGTAGATGTTATAGGATTGGTTGTTGACATTCAAAGTGTGCAAGAGAAAACAAATAAAAACTGACGATATCCAAATGGTTGCATTCATTCTTATGGGTTTTTTCTTTTTTTTTTTTTTTCAACTGCAGTTTTTTCTGCAATATAATCAATTATAATCATATAGTTTTTTTATATGCATTACATATCTAACAATTTTATTATTTATTGCATTGAAAATTTCGTAAATTGCACGGTTTTAGGTGAATATGTATGAACAAACTTTTGACTTTCAAGAGCCATTATGAAGAAACTGGTCAACTATAGGTACTAATCATACAACTTGTACATTCCAGAAAATACCTATCATTTAATATTACTTTCCAATTATTTCAATTATTTAATTTAAATGTTCAACCTTTTTTTTTTGTTTTTTTTGTTTTTACTAATCTCATTCTAACCATTTTATTTTGTTTTCTAATAATTTCTACACTTTTTTCTAATCAATTATTTATTCTTAACATTAAAAAGTTTAATATGTTTGTAGAAAAGGTACAGATTACCATTTCATTAGATATCTTTATTACATGTTGTTGTTCGCGTGTAACTAATATAGAAGGGGATTGAAGATATTAGTTTATGAGAATAACGAGTTGACCAATAATTAAACTCATAATTTTGTGTACAATGAGGTCTTTAATAATATATGAATGTATCTTTGTCGAATACTATCTTATTGTACAATTTTCCTATGTATTATAAATCTTTTTATTTAATTGCATCTTATAATATAATATTCTCTAAATAAATATATCCCGTGCATTGCACGGGCACGTACTATATATACCCCGTACATTTTTCTTTATTCATGTATATAATAATAATTCTCGCTAAATAGCCCTAAAATTATGCACCTCGTGTATCGCACGGGCTCTGCACTGGTTTTGTTGTGATGACAAATGAATAAACACATTATGCAACGACGAAAAAAGAAAGAAAAAATTTACATAGCTAAACATGGATGAATACATTTATCAAATTTTCGGTCAAATAATATTATATTTCATCCGTTTCAAATTATAAGTCGTTTTGACTTTTTTGATTTATCTATTTTGCTATGTATCTAGACATATTATTATCTAGATACATAGTAAAGTGGATGTATCGAAAAAGTCAAAACCATTTATAATTTGAAACGGAAGGAGTATAAAACAAAGTAATCATGGTAAAACGATTTGTAACCCTTAATTTACGTTACATATAATATATGCTCTTAAGAAAAAAAAAAAAAAAAGACAAAAAAAAGTCAAAACTCGGACAAGCTGACGTCTTTGGCCGACAAGGTCGCGTTCTTGCTACTCACAATGCTCCACTGATCGGAAAACCCTCCCCACCCGCCGCCGCCGCCGCTCCCGCACTTGGCCACCGTCCTCACGCTCTCAATCAGTTCCTCCGCCCTCCCGTCCTCCGCCAGTATCTCCACTAGCTGCTCCGGGCTTATCACCAGCTTCACCTTCCAGAACCTGCCGCCACCCGCCGCCGACGCCGCCGGAATCGGAACCCTCCCGGCCTCCGGCCACCTTCCGTCGAACGACATCCTGTACGACGCCGCTCCCGACCCCCACGGCGGCGCGCTGGTGGACCTGACGTGGCCGGCGGCTCGCGATCTGGTGGCGGCGTCCGCCAGCGGGAGAAGGCGGTAGGATTCGCCGGCGAGGAGGAGTTCAGCGTGGGGGAGGGGCTTCCAGAAGAGGCCCTGGTCCAGGAATATGCCGTGGCCGGGGAACTCGTCGGTGATGGACTCAACGGTGACTGGGCCGCGGAACTCCATCACGCCGCCGTTCGACGTGGCCACCCGGACCACAGGCCGACCGTCTCCGTCGCCAGCGCCGCCCAAGAGGCAATTTCCCATCTCTTACTATTAATTACTAATACTATCTGGTAATTTATGATTTGAGCACCGCAACAGTAGCCGGTAATTGTGTTTTTGGAGGGTGCCTTAAATAAATACTAAAGGAAAAGGGAGGGAAAAGGTGGGGCCCACGAATTTTTTGCTTTTTTTTTTTTTTTTTCTTTCTGCATGGTGAAGGGGGAAAATAAAAAGGAATAAATTAGTATTATATTTAATATTTAATATGAAAATACGCTACGCTCCCGTTACGGAACCATTCAATTGGGGTTTATAACCGTTACATCAACTATCTCTAACGGTTATATAATGATCTAACAGTTACAAAACTCGACGTAAAGATTCCGTAACTGAACCTTAGCATTTCCATATAATATGACCACTCAGTGACACTGTAGGATGTGGATTATGAAAGGCTAATATGATAATTAGCCGTGACATTGGATTCAGTTTTATAATATTTTAATACTTGTTGAATATATAGACATCTCATTTTTCTTAAAAAAAAAAATCAAAACAAAACTTATATTAATAAACACTTATATTATAGACTATATAACATAAAAATAGTTAAAATCAAACACTTAATCAAGGTGAATTGAGAAGGTCAAATTCTAGGGGTGAGTAAATCCGAGCCGAAATCGAAAAAATATACTTAATCGTGCAATTTTGTGTGGTTCAGTTCGGTTTTTTTTTAATGTAAAAATTTTCTGTTCGATTTCAATTGGATTTTTTTTCTACATTGCAGTGTGGTGCAATGATAGTTTTTTATAATTTCGGTCAAACCACCTCCCCCACCCCCTAATTGAATAAAATGTATAGAAAAATCGTGATAGAACTAAAAAAATCGAGCCGAACCGTTTATTACATTGTTCCAAATGATTACATAAAACACACATTTTTTTGTTGAAGAAAAAAATAATTTTACCGGAAAATTCTTAACCAAAATGATTACATAGCATGTAAGTTACATTTTTTTAGGAAAATATGTAAAATTTGAAGTTGAGATATAATTGCAAAAGGTTGAAAATTGGTGTTTATTCAATTTTGTTCATTTTATATAATTTTTAGGAAATAATTATGATTATTATTATTACGTGAAAGAAATTGGGCAGTCAAAGAAAGGAGCACAGCACAGCACAGCACTTTTGCTTTTGCTTTGAGTTTTCATAATTGGCCCACCTTTGATGTTTTCTAGTATTTGTTTAGAAAAGGAAAACCGACATCAAAGCTCATGCACCCTCTAATAATGCTTACTTTGTTTCTCAAATATTTTATAACATGTACATATAAATTTTGTGCTTATTCTCCCTCAATTGAAATATATTTTTAAGATATAGCAATTAAGATAAATAATATATATATATATAATAATAATTATAGTAAAATTAATATGAATATATTATATTTAAAATATTTTTTGCATTGACAACTTTAATTAATATATTTAATGTAACTCGTAAGTTATGTATAAAAAAAATAAATTTATTAATATTTTATGATTTGTCTAGGCGGGACTACACATTAGTCTCCGATCTGCCTCCCAGTCCAGCGAGTGACTAACGGCTTTCGTAACTTTAAATACACCTCATAGAAATGCACTACCTTGTGAAAGAATAAAAAAAATTCTCTTTCTCAAAAACTTCGTCGTCGTTGTGTATACCAAGCCTTCACCTCCTTATGCTGCACAATTTGAGGCGTCATGGCTCCGACGTCACCAACCCGAGCAGCTCATCCCATTAGAAGTCATCGTCCCCATTCTCGATGTAGAGATTCACCGCAATCGCCGATCGTCTATGGGTTGTGGAGCCGGTTATAGCATGCACTAAATTGGGTCAATCCACTAGTCCTGGCCTTCTCTAGTGAGTGGATCGGTGCTGAGATATGCTTCATTTCTTCCCTATATTCGTTTCCTGGTGTTGGGGGTTAGTTTTGGCTGGTGGGTGTGGGGTGGCGGTTCCAACGGGGGTTGGGTTGGGGTCGCAGGTTGGTGGGTGGGGAAGAAGGGGTTGTCCTCTGGGCCCTGGGGTAGCCGATCAAGAGTGGAGTTTGGTCTGTTAGCCTTTTGCTGGAGTTTCTGGTTCTATTTGCGTGATGGGGTTCTTTCCTTTGTACGGTCGTCTCCGGGTGTTGAGCCAAGGATTGGTGCATATTGTTTGCCCATTAGAAGAGGGTGCTATTCTAGTATTATTAGTGTTTGTGTTGTGTTATAGTTGTCTTGTTGGCCTTTTGTTTTAGTCTTCTGTTTAGAAGTTCGATTCTCTCTTGTGGTAGTGTATAGCTTGTCAGATCTGTGAGTGTTAGTGTAAGCTTCTAGACTACCATTGTGTACGCCTCTCTTATATTTAAGGAAAAAAAAATGTACACCTTATAGAATTACTTTGCAATTTCATTTCTTAATATAGATACGAAACGACTGTATCACATTTTTTTATTTATAAGTAGATCAAGGTAAGTCAGGTGCAGGTAGAGACGGTAGCCCGAAATCACATTTAAAACATTTATTACCGCAAGACGTGCTTATTTAAGAATGTTCTGAAAACCGGATTGGACTGGTCGGTTCGACCGGTTTAACTGAAAATCGGCATGACGTGCTTATTTAACTATGTTCTGAAAACCGAACCGGACTGGCCAGTTCGACCGTTTTAATCAGAAATCGGCCAGTGCACGGGTCCAGTTTGAGGCATGGAACCGTTGGAGTCCCGAATGGGTTATAAAAAAAAACGCCAAACCATCAAACCGATAGCGGTTACATGGGCCAGCAGTCCGGACGTGCTTCTGTATTAAAGTGGTAGTAAAATTACTTAAATAGGTGACTTTTTTGCTTTGTCTTGTAAAAAGCAAATAAAGATCTCCCCAATTTATTGGGCCACTAGCGGGCCATTTTTTTTATTAGAAGTTCTACTCTAACCATCCCCAAGATAACAAGTATTAAACTGGGCCCATTTTTTTATTCTTTTTATAAAGTGGGCCTATTTTTTCTATTAGTATTTAGAAGTTCTATCCACAAGCCACCCAACCAATTTAATGACCCTACCAATTCATGATAAAAATATATAGTATATACAATTATATATTATACATATAAAATAAATAAAATTAATTTCAATTTAAAATATATACAATTTATATTATACATATAAAATAAATAAAAATTAATGATAAAAAACATATACAATTATATATTATACATATAAAATAAAATAAAATTTAGTATTAATTAAATCGGTTCGACCACTGGTCCGACCATTAAACCATTGAACCTAACTTCACCGATTCAATGACCGGTTCGGCTTTCAGAACATTAGCTTTTACTGTACCTACTTACCTAGACATAGACGAATGCACTTTGATACATTACACAAAATAATGGAATGTGAAAAATGTGACACAATAGCAATTTTGTTCATCCTCAAACCCTAAATCGACTTTTTTTTTTGAAAAAAAATAAATCATGAAGTGTTAATCAATGCTTTAACAAAATGAGAGATAATAATATTTTTTTTTTCAACACGATATATTATATAACGCGCACAAATGAACAAAAGGACAATCATCAGTTGAATACAAACAACTAACAGATGAATACAAGCAGCCAACAGTTGAAAAAGTGGGAAGACAAGACTACTAGAACCGACCTCAATGGGATAATATTCAGAAACAGGAAAACACAACTAGAAAATAACAGACAAAGACCCCAATATAATAATAATTATAATCACAAAAATAATAGTAATAAAAGGAGAAGTAAGAATTGGTTACTACATATAAGTGGCCGACCCTGGAAACCTTGGGAAACATTTCAATTTTTGGATGCTACCTAATAGAAGGTGCTAATCCCATTAATATCCTTAAATTCCGTTTTGTGTGTAAGTTTTGTGAATTCTACCCCGTGTTTTAAAACGCGTATAGCGTAATGCGTCGTATTTTGGTCTTTATACTGCGTAACGTAAATAGCGTTGCGTGTTGCGTAAACTATTTGGGTATAATTTTTTTTATATATAAAAATAGTACAAGTATATTTGCATATAATAAAAATGTATGATTGAATACAAAAATTATCATAGTATTTGAATGAATTACAAAATAACATCTAAGGGTTAATTCTCACAAATGTTTAATGTAAATATCATTATTAATATAAATATTTAATAATAAATCAAATATATTAAAAAGTAAAACAAATTAACAAACAACGATAATATAATGAGGTAAGTCATAGCTAGTATAATTTTAAGTATATGATTTTAATTTATTATAATTTTATTTAACTACAACTTAATTCTAATCATTAGTGTTGGATCATGGAAAATCAAAGAACATAAAATATCAAAATGAAAACCATTGAGTCACATGAACATAAGATTGATATTTCCTTTGATAATGAAAGATGATGACTGCGGTTCTTGTGTTGCAGCTTTACAAGAATGTGTGTGTTTATATATGTGGTTGAGAGTGTAACCTAGAAAGGATAAGGTTGGAGTAAAAATAGTAAAAGCTAGATAAGAAGGTACAAGGTAAAAATTTCAAAAATGTGGTGAGTTGTCTTTTGTCTTTGCATGGGAGCTTTTCACTTTGCATGGTGGTGCACATGCACCCGGTTCTTCATGAGCCGAGTCCTTAGAGCTATGTTTATCATCCCCCCTCAATTTTAGCATAGGTTTGGGAACAACATTGAGTTTGTTTCGAAGCCGTGCATAAAATTGGCTACTCAACGGTTTTGTGAAGAGGTCAGCAACCTGATCTATAGCTGGGACATGCTGGACTTTAATAGTGTTATGGAGGACCTTCTCTCTGATGAAATGCAAATCAAGCTCAAAATGCTTTGTCCTAGAATGGAACACCGGGTTAAGAGACAAAGAAACAACTCCAAGATTGTCACTCCAAATAGTGCAGGGCTGTTGAGGAGAAAAACCAAGTTCATGGAGTAATGAGTTAATCCAAATTACTTCACAAATGACACCAGCAATGCTCCTAAATTCTGCCTCTGTGCTTGAACGAGA